GGTATGGTGTTGTTAGTAAGTATCTGAGCCTATGGCTTTACCATGAGAACGAAATGTAAGGCCATGTTTTGGCGCAGTTGGTTAAGGCACCGCTTGCAATGCTGGCGTCCCATATGGGAGAACCTGTTCATGTCCTGGCTGCTCTGCTTTGGATCCAGCCCCCTGCTAATGCACCTCAGAAGGCGGTGGAAGATGACCCAAGTGCTTGGGCCCCTACCACCCACATGAGAGACCTGGATGGAGTTCAGGATTCCTGGTTTCAGCCTGGCCCAGCTCAACTCAAACCATTGCAACAATTTGGGGACTGAAACAGCAGAAGGAAGATTCTCTCTCTCGCTCTCTCTCCCTTCCTCCCTCTGTTTCTCTTTCTTTCTCTTTCTTTCTGTTTTTCTCTCCTTTTCTCTCTGATACTGTGACTTTTCAAATAAATAAATAAATCTTAAGGAGAAATGAAGAATGAAATGCAAGCAAAATGCTGAGATCAATGCCTGGGAGATAACTAAACACAGCAATTGTTTCAGACAGAGTCCAAGTACATAGAATATTGTCTCAGAGTTATACTGTTTGTGTATACACAGATACAAATAATAATAATTTATTTTTTATTCTCTGCTAAGCTTTCTGAATTCAAAGTAATATGGAACAATGAAGCAAATATTTAAAGATATTGCCTTTTTTTAGTTGACAAATGAAAAGTCTTGTATATTTATAGTGTACAATACAATGTTTTAAAATATGTGTACATTATGGAGTGACTAAATCAAGCTAATTAGCATCTTCATTACTTCACACAATTATCTTTTTTATGTGGTGAGAACATTTAAAATCTACTGTATCAGCTATTTTCCAGTGTACAATATATTATCATTACTTATAGTTACTATACTGTACAGTAGCACTCCTTAACTAACTCCTCCTGCCTGACTGAAATAGCATAAGCTTTGACCAACATCCCCCCATTCCTCCACCTAATTTGTACCTCAGTTCTCTGGGAACTACTCTCTGTATGAGTTTGACTTCTTTAGATTTCACACATAAGTGAGTTCATGCTACATTTGCCTTTCTGTGCCTGGATTATTTCATTTAACATAATATCCTCCAATTTCATGCATGTTGTCACAAATTACAGGATTTTCCACTTTTTAAATGCCTAGTAATAATCCACTCTATATCTTTATAATACGCTTTCTTTATTCAGTCATCCATTGCTGGCTGCTTAGATTGATGTCATATTTTGATTATTGTGAATAATGTTGCAATAAACATGTAGGTTCATATTTCTCTTCAATATACTGATTTAATTTCTTTAGTGTACATACCCCAAAGAATTGCTGCATCATATGGTAGTTTTAAGTTTTTGAGGAACTTACACACTGTTTTCCATAATGGCTATACTATTTCCATTCTCACCAAAAGTATACACAGATTCCCTTTTTTCCACATCCTCACCAATGCTTGCCATCTCTTGTTCTTTTTTATAATGGCCAACATATCAGGTATCCTGTCAGGTATTCTTGTGGTTGTATTCCTCATGATTAAAAATGTTGAGAATTTTTTAATAAAGTTGTTGGCCATTTGTATGTCTGCTTTTGAGAAATGTCTTTTAAGGATATTTACCAATTTTTAAAATGATGTAATTTGTTTTCTTGCTTTCAAGTTGTGTGAATTCCCTGTAAAATTTTCATATTGGCTTCATATCAGCTGTATGATTCATAAATATTTTCTCCTATTTTGTCAGTTCTCTTTGCTATTAACCCTTTACTGTGTATGTTTTTTAGTTTGATGTAATCCTACTTGTCTATATTTGCTCTGTTACCTGTGTTTTTGAGAATCAGATTCGAAATGTAGTGAGTATGGCTGGAAGCTAATTGCAGATCTCTTGCTTCTGTACATATTAGCTTTGCTTGCTAACGGCTAAGGGTGTATCTTGTGAAACTATATGGGCCCAAATTCCCAGGAACTAGTTAGACAGAAATGTGTCCTTCACTGTTATCTTACAACCATATCTTGGGTCTGTTATTGGGTTTGTTATTGTTAACTGTTATCTTACAACCATATTCTGGTTTTCTTTTTATTGTTCACTACATACTAGGGGTCCGGTTGGAAATTGTGAGCCGTAGCAGGTGGGATACTGTAAAAGACTGTGTAACTTGCTGTTGAGGACCACACTCTGGTAAGGAGTGTTGGTCCCGATAGGTTGCCTTGTCTCTCATTTGTATCTCATTTGCCTCTCATTTTTAATAAAATTCATGTATGACTGTCACTGGCTTTTGTAATATTCCATTTCAGCTGATGAGTAGATGCAGCAGCTTTTGGTGTTATGCCCAAAAAACAATCTATGCTTGGATGAAGACCAAGAAGACTTTCCTCTATGGTCTAAAATTATCATAATCTTGAAATAAAAAAATAGCTTTCTGATAAGTGATTGACAGAAGGCCTTTATCAAATGAAGCCATGGACACTGCCTATTATAAACAGAAAATGGCAACAGGGAGTGACAAGTATACAGGCTACTGGCACAGATTTTACAACTTGATTAAGCCGTATGTTGTACAATTTGTCTGGTTTTTGTCGTAGGTTCCTGGGATGAAACTTTTAAACACTTGGAATTTTCTGTGTGATAGGAGTATCTTTGTTATCCCGAGTGAGTCCCTTTTGAGTTTATATTGGTGAGGTGACTCATCACGGACCTCTAGATTCAGGAGAAGGCTGCCCATGCCACACAAGCCAACTAGGTGTTTAAAGGGTTAGATTTTGAACCATGTGAAATCAGACCTACCTCCTGAGAGTAGATAGAAGGCTGGAGATTAAGTTCAATCTCTTGGCCAATGACTCAATCAATCATTCCTATGTAATGAAATTGCAATAACAATTCTTAACACAAAAGTTAAATTGAGCTTCCTGGTTGGGGAACACATTGATTTCTGGAACCAATTATCCCAAGTGCCTCTTCTTTTGGCTGGTCTTGATTTGTATTCTTCATAATAAAATACAATGATAAGTATAGCACTTTCCCAAGTTTTGTGATTAGTTCTAGCAACTTTTCAAATCTAGGGAGGCCATAGGAACTCATGAATTTATAGCAATTTGATCAGAAGTGAAGAGGGGCTAGACATCTCCAAACTTCCAGCTGGCATCTTGAATGTAGTCTTTTGGGGACAGTGCTTTGAACCTGTGTAGTCTGCACTAAATCTGGGTAGTGAGTTTAAATATTATACTGTGTGATTCAGCTGTTGCCATATGTTCACTCTGCGTGCAGTTGATGGGCTTGATGATACTGTGATCTATTTAGCACTGAGACCGTATTTTTGAATAAGAAATCTTTATCTTTTTTAAAGTTAAGATTGACTTTATGCAACATGGTGCAGATTAGGGGACTGCTATTCCAACAAAGCACGAGCTGAGGGCTTAAAATGTAGGGATCGTTGCCACCATCCATTAGGGACTTCATTCAGATGCAGTGGTTAGCAGTCAACAAAGTACTCATCATCTTAATTCAGTGGTTATGCAGAGAGAGACAATTGTGAGGCGGGCAAACTGGGTCAACAGAATAAACCTACTTTCAGCTTTTTTTATGCAAATCCGTTGGCAGTATAAGTATTCTTTTTCACTCTGAAGTTCCCTGACTGTCAAAGAAGAGGTGCTCATACCAGCTTTTGAATCTAAATTTATGATAAAAACCAGCTCATCATGCCATTTACAAATCCACTAAAAACCATTTCTATGATTTCATGAAACTTGTTCAAGTGTGACAGCTCAACAACACGAGGGATCTTCAGAAAGATGGAAAATTAGTATTATGAAGGTATTATGCATGAATTTTGCTGTTGTTTGAACAGGATTTGGATCCTCAAACTCATGAAGATTTAAAAAAAATTTAAATTCATTTTCATCTTATTTGAAAAACCAAGAGACAGAGAGAGGAAGAGAGACAGAGACACATGGAGATCTTCCATGTGCTGGTGCTCGCCTCAGATGTCCCCAAAGAGCCAGAGGTGGGGCAGGACAAAGCCAGGAGCCCAGAACTCAGTCCTTGTCTCCTACAAGCATAGCAGAGACCCAACTGTTTGAGCCATCATCTGCTGTCTTCCAGGGTGCTCCTTAGCAGGAAGCTCTATTAGAAGAGTAGTTGGGACTTGAAGTAAACACTCCAATTTGGGATGCAGCAATAATGATTAATGGATGAAAAGTGGAGGCTTGATCCAGTCATGGTGGTGGAGCCTTTGGAAAGTGATTGGATTGGGTTAGGGTTGCTAGACTGTAGCCCTGTGATCAAATCATAGCTGTATATAGAATGTAGGTGAAAGGTGTACTCCGTCTCTCTATGGTTCCTGGCTCATCATGCGACAGTCCCTCCATCATCCTCCAACCTCACCAGATTCCTGAACCAGGGGCCACCTGACATTCAACTGTGTGAATCTCCAAAATATAAGGTCAGAGCAACCTTCTTTGCTCAGTGGCTCCTTTCAGATATGCTAGTCAAATTAACAAGTCTTACCATACAGATTTCAAAAAATTTTTTTCACCAAAATAAACTTTTCTTCTTAATTTCATTTTTTTCAGTAAATTTTTTGAGGCCTACTTGTTCATGAACTACTTCACTTGACCCAGAGGAATTAGTGAACTTCACCCTAGTTGGTTATTTTTTAAAGCTATCTCCACACGATGCAATGGAAAAGGCAAAAAATACTTTCTAGAGTGGAATGTAATAAAATAATAGACTAGCAAACCATAAGCTGCTTTATCCCAGGCTGAAACCCTAATAATTCTTTGGGCTTTACACCAGACAGAGAGAGAGTAAAGTCATCTTCAGGGAGAAATCACCCCAGGAGTTCTGAGTCCCCATCTTGCCCAAAAATACAGCAACAGTGATACCAAATGCTCACATTATTTTTTACTTAAGAGCTGCTAATTTAGTAAAAAGAAAGAATAAAACAGGAATCAACCAGATGCTGAGATTTATGGCTAATGCCATTAACCATCAAGTTGTATACAATAACTTGGTAAAATAACTGATGAGGATTTATTTAAAAATTAATTCACTTCAAATTATTTTCATTAACAAGAATGTTTCATTTACATTTATATAAAATTGACAGTCTGCTTGCTGAATGTCAACTAGCCTCAAATTTCAAAACATTTTTTAAAGATTTTGTTTATTTATTAGAAAGGTAGAGTTACAGACAGATTGAGGGAGGTTCACTCCCCAAATGGCTGCAATGGCCAGAGCTGGGCCGATCCAAAGCCAGGAGCCAGGAGCTTCTTCTAGGTCTCCCACATGGGGGCAAGGACCCAAGAACTTGGGTCATCTTCTACTGGTTTTCCAGGACATAGCAGAGAGCTGAATTGAAAGAGGAGCAGCCAAGACTAGAACCAGCTCCCATATAGGATGCCGGTGTCGCAGGCAGAGGCTTTGCCCACTATACCACAACACTGGCCTCAAATTTCAAAATTTGTAATGGGCCTGGGGCTGACATTTGGTGCAGTGGTCAAGACATCATTTGGTACACCAGAATCCCATATGGAGCCTAGGTTCAAGTCCTGGCTCTGCTTTTGATTTCAGCCTCCTGCTAACGCCCACACTGAGATGTAGCAGGTGATGGCTCAGGTAATTGCGCCCCTGATACCCATGATGGAAATACAGATTGATTTCTGGGCTTCTGGCTTTGGCCTGGCCCAGCCCCAGCTGTTACAGCCACTTAAGGGAGTGAACCAGCAGAAGGAAGAGCTCTCTCTCTCTCTCTCTCTCTCTCTCTCTCTCTAATTTAAACAAACAACTGGCATGAGAATAAAAAGGGACTGAGAAATTCACTATGAGGACCTCAGTAATGCTTTCCCCAGCAAAAGAATGGCTTTTCTGGTGGGAGATATCAATACAGGAACAACCATTTTACAGCAAGTGGAAAAATATTTAGTCCAATACTACTAAATCTTGATATGAACAGCAAGAGTCTCTGGTGTTTGAGTCCTGTCACACCATCTCCATGTGATAGAAGAACAACTCCAGGTGAGCATAGGCAAAAAGATGTGGTCTCCTTTTCAGTTTCTAGTGTAGGACTACAATTTCAACCCAAAGCAACAGGCCACTAGCATCTCTCATTCTGTAAAGTCTCACGCACAGTTCTGCACAGTCAAGACCAAAGGAACTGGGACTCCCTTTTGTTCCCCAGCTCACATTCATAGGGTGAGGACTCTGCCCTAGGTATTGCAAGCTGAGAATACTAACAGAGACAGTCTGTCAAAAATAGCCCAGCTGTGTTCAAGGTCATCCTGGGGGTCTAGAAGGCTGGGTTCATGCTCTATGCTGTACTACCCCAGCTAATTAAAGTGGTATGTGGAACAAACTCAGCACACTCCCTATGCCATACACCAATCTATCAGGAGAGGTCTGTAAGACTCGCTGGATCAAAAAGCTTAAGCACAATTTCTGTGCAAATTCTGGCTACAAGTAAACCACTCCAGGAGTAACTCTGAAAAAAGCTAAGCTTGAAAATAAAACAACTGGGGAAGACTGGGAGCAGTGGTTAAGATGTTGCTTGGTATGCCTGCATTCAAGTTCTTGATCCATTTCTGATTTCAGCTTCCTTCCTATGCATACCCTGGGAGGTGGTAGCTCAAATATCCAGGACCCTGCCACTGTGTGAAGGCCTAGATTGAGTCCCGAGGTCCTGACTTTGGCTGGACTAGTCTTGGCTGTTGTGGGCATTTAGGGAGTGAATAAGAACATGGAGGATCTCTATTTGTCTGTCTCTCTTTCTGCCTTTCAAATAATATGAAAATAAACAAGTAAAATCTTGAAAAATCAAGTCTTATCACATTGCCATCCTGGGAGACTGGGAAGTCAGGACCCATGTTCAGCACTGTGCCCCTCAGAAGGCCTGGAATGAACACTGCAGGCTATTGATCCCTGGATGAATGTGAGACAAAAGCATAAACCCCCACAATGTGAAGATAATTCATCTCCAAGCCACACATACAAGATATTTATGAAAATCAAATGAGAATGTAAGAGTTTTTTTAATTAAAATATTTATTTATTTATTTGAAAATCAGAGTTACACAGAGAGAGGAGAAGCAGAGAGAAAGAGAGGTCTTCCATCCAATGGTTCACTCCCCAACTGGCCACATCAGTCAGAGCTGCACTGATCCGAAGCCAAGAGCCAGGAGCCTCCTCCAGGTCTCTCACATGGGTGCAGGGACCCAAGGATTGGGCCATCTTCCACTGCTTTCCCAGGCCATAACAGAACGCTGGATCAGAAGTGGAGCAGCTGGGTCTCCAACCAGCACCCATATGGGATGCCAGCACTGCAGGCCAGGACATTAACCCGCTGCGCCACGGTGCCAGCCCCATTGGTAAGAGTTTAATCCTCCTATTGAACTAATAACTCATTTATTCGACCCAGAGAAAACTCCTAGAAAGCCATGATAAAAGGTAAAAATCAAGAAGAAAAAAATCTGAACGAAACATCAGAGTCAGTGCAGTTAAGTTACTGAAGAAGTAAATAACTCACTAGAAGAAAACAACACCGTTCTCAGGAACGGGAAGGGGAGCAACATCTAGAGATGCTGTGATAAATGATCAAAGATGTATCATTGTCGACAAAAATTTTTTAAAAATGAAATAAACAGGAAAGTGTGGCGCAAACATGGGAAAAAATGACAGGCAGCAAAAACTGCTTTTGAGGGGGGACTAGGTTTGAATTAGCACACAAAAAATTTCAAAGCATTTCCTACAAACTAAAGGAAATCAGATTTAAAGGGCCAAGGAAGGTATAATAAGAATGATTCATCAGTTAGAAAATATCAATACAGACAGTGTGGTGATTAATTTTATCTGTCAAGTTGGTTGGGCTAAGTTATGCCTAGGTAAACAATAAAACACTATTTCTGGCTGCGTCTTCTAGAATAGAATAGCACTGGAATTGGCAGAGTGAGCAAAGAAGATATCTTCACCACTGTGGTCGGGCTTCATCCAACCCACTGAGGCCCTAAACAGAACAAAAGGGCAGGGGAAGGAAGAACTTGCTGTCCCCACTTGGTCTGGAACAATTGTCTTCTCTTTCAGATCAGATGTCGGCATTCCTGACCGTTAGGCTTGGGTTCAGGCTGGAACCAGTGGAGCAGCTTGCTGGGGCCTTCAGCTTGCAGAGGGTGACTCACAGGGACTTCTCATCCTCCACTGCAGCATGAGCCCACTGCTCATTATAAGGATCTACCCATCTATCATCTTTATCTATCTGTCTTTCATCTGTGCTACTTCTCTGGGTAACCTGGACTAACACAGATCATATGTGGTAAATGAAAGGACCAAGTGGAAATTCTGAAGTTGAGTATTACAAAAGCCAAGCAGAAAAATTAAGTTGAGGCTGAATGCTGTGTATGAATTGGCAGAAGAAAGAATTAGCAACCTTGAAGAAGGATCACTAGAGACCATTATGCAATCTGAAGAACAGAGAGAAAAAAAGGAAGAAAAACAATTTCACAAAAATGTGGACACCATTAAGTATATCAGCATTAGCAGAAGTACCAGAAAGAGAAGAGAGAAAGAAGAGAACAGTTAGGATTGGAGACGCAAACATGACTGTCATCCGCCTGGTGCCACCCACTCACCTCTTCCACTCGGCTTTACCCTCCTACCAAGACGAGCCACTTCCACTCCCCCAGGCAGACTCCTCTTTGCCTCCCTGATTTTGCTTACACTATCCTTTCTCTCCAGACTGCCCTCTCTGCCCATGCCCATGTGGTGAAAATAGATCCATGATTTATTATGGAAAAAGAATGTGCAAGTACTGTCCACTACAAATGTTAATAATAATCTTGATAGTTAACCATAATCTGTACCTAACCATTGCTTGCTCAACAATTCTCAAAACAACAAAACCTACAGAAACTGTGATTTGTTTCCTTCATTGGATCAAAGTTGAGTCCTAAAGATCTGAACACAAAGACCAAGACAAGCTATTAACATGCCAACTAAGCATTTAGCCTCATGTTTCTATAAATGGATTTTTCCTATTCTGCTTAAAATTCTAATCTATGATTCTTGAGGGGTCTGTTTCTTTACTGACTCCGTGGTGTGTGTGTGTGTGTGTGTATGTGTGTGTGAATGACCATAATATAGTCTGACAAGCGCTTGATTCAGTTGCTGCTTTTTCTTTAACAAGAATGACCCTCAAATGATAACTTTTCAGGACAACATTCCCTCATTGTCAAGGTAGAGTGACCACTTCCTACCATTTTCCTTGAAGGGCATGGGAGAAACTTCTAGAACCGTAGTTCTATTTATTGTGTTCAATTACTTCTTGAGGGCAGTGACCTTTTGTTGCTATGCATCCTCTCACATAAAGTACCGTTCTTGTCATTTAAAAACATTGAAAAAAGAAGAAAGGGCAGGAGAATGAAGGAGCCTGTAGGGGCCGCCGCTGTGGCATAGTGGGTAAAGCCGCCACCTGCAGTGCCAGCATTCCTTATGGGTGCCAGTTCCAGTTCCAGCTACTCTACTTCCGATCCAGCTCTCTGCTGTGGCCTGGGAAAGTAGTAGAAGATGGCCCAAGTGCTTGAACCCCTGCACATGCGTGGAAAGACTCGGAGGAAGCACCTGGCTCCTGGCTTCGGATCAGCACAGCTCCAGCCTTTATGGCCAATTGGGGAGTGAATCAGTGGATGGAAGACACACACTCTCTCTCTCTCTCTCTCTCTCTCTGCCTCTCCTTCTCTCTCTAAGTAACTCTGACTCTCAAATAAATAAATAAATCTTTAAAAAAAAAAAGAAAGAAACTATATGTAGCATGTTTCATAAAGCTATGCTATTCCTGACACATTATCTAATATGCACTCATAATGAACATTTCTGTTTTTGTAGAAAAAATGACAGCCCCAAGTAACACACACACACACACACACACACACGATGCATATTTAGATACCACACCATAAACAGAAATCATTAAAATGTAAAAATCTACTCAGTTACTTAACTAGGTCAAAACAATATTTCCTTCTGTTTCATTTCCTCCCATACAGTTCAACCACTTTCCTTACTAACTAAACCACTGCAGGGACAGAGAAAAAAATCAAGTGGCTGAAAACGTATGCCTCAGCAAGCTGACACGCACAGTGAAAGCTCGTGGGAATTGCTCCTTGAGAGCCTGATTGTGTCTCAGAGCCGTCCCCAGTCGGTGGGAATGCTGGCCAGCAATCTCCAGAGGCCAGCGGCGGGCAGGGGAGAGTGGGCTCTGGGGAAACTTCGGAGATACAGTGAGCAACTCATGCTGGAACCAGCTCTGGGGTCCTCAGGTTTGTGCTGCCTGTCTCCTAGTCTCATGGTGTTTCAGGGGGTGTGACATTTTAGCTTCTCAGATGTGTTGTCTCCCAGTGATCTGAAGGTTTGGCTGCCTATTTCCTGCAAAAGTTGAGTCCATACTGTGTGCTTCTGCTGCTCCTCCTGTTGGCAGGTGTCTTTCTCCAGCGCCTGATTGGACACACGTGGTTCTGAAATGCTGCATCTCCAATTGAGAGACGGAACTTAAAGTAAACGCCATATCCAGTGTGATGAGTGTCGTGGGCTGTTATTTAAAACCTCTGTCCATGAAAGGGCTGTGAGGAGTCCTTCACCATGTGACATTCTGATTAAACAGATCTTCAGTTTTACTACAGAAACTAGGCTTCCAGTAGTCTCCAAGGAAGCTAATTGCCAGAGACTCCAGAGCAATGTGAAGAGCTGGCATCCAATTTGGAGCGAGATGCCAGTTCGTCACTTCATGTAGAAGAGTTGTGTACAGATTCCCTAAGTCATAACCGAGTCTTAGGCCTTCAGGATGTGAAACACTTATTGAGCGCTCACTCAGCGCTCACTCTTTGCCAGACACTATGTTGCGAGTTTTCCACTAGGTAAGTATTATTTACGATTCTCACCTCTGGTCAGCAGATGAGTAAACAGATTGAGATGACAACAAATGCCCGGGTAGTAGTAGCAGAGATGAGTCTCCAGTTCAGGTCTGTTTACTGTTACTATTCTATGGCTTCAAACTCCAAGCATAGCCAGACTTTAAGACAGAACAACAACCATAGACTGAAAGGAACCAAAGAAGCCAAACATGAAACAGGAAAGGTTAAAGCAATCTTGTCCAGGACCCTGAGAGTGAGTGAGCGAGCGAGCGAGCGAGCAGGGTTCTTGCCAGGTCAAAGGTGAATGGTCTGCAAAAATGTGCACCACCTGTCTCAGTCTGCTGTCACCTCCAGCACCCTGGAAGGGAAAACACATTGGCAACAGCTGGCATATGCTTAGGAAGAAAGATCAAATGCACTGTGTCAGTTCTGTGGCATCAATTTGTCTCTTGACTCCAATTCTCCTAATAAAATCAGACTTTTATTTTCAGATACTTCAGGTTTAACTTTAGCTTCTAGAAAATCAATTATAGGGAGACTGGAGATTTCCAAGAGGTTGAGAGGAATTGCACTTTAACCTCACTCAGCCCCACAGTGCTAGTTTTCAAATTAACCCCATTTATATGCATTATCCTCAACACACATTTTGGCCTTTGGTGCCTAGCTCAAAATTCTATTGCATACTTTATTGCCACCCTTGTAAGAATCAGCTATTTATAATTAACAATATAATTAATTGCTTTATTGGCCACTGTTGCATTGCATAACTGAAGAAAATACACAAATATTAAAAAATACTGACTCCTATTAACCGTACGCTGTTTATGCCCATCACTACACTAACGTGCACACTTGTGCACATATGTGGCACACACATACTCCTGTCCTTGAAAATGCATCTAGTTCAATAAAGGTCAAAGTTTTGGAAGTTATCAAATTCTTCTGCTTTTTTGATTGCAATGTAAAAACTAGAATTCATGTATATTGTCAAGGTCTCTGCAGCCACCTGCCAATTTCTCTTGAAAATTGTTCTCTTTTAAAAAGGCATGATTCTCAGGGCTGGCAGTGTGGTACAGTGTGTTAAAGCCCCAGCCTGCCGTGCCGGCATCCTGTATGGACACCGGTTCAAGTCCCGGCTGCTCTACTTCTAATCCAGCTCTCTGCTGTGGCCTGGGAAAGCAGTGGAAGATGGAGCAGTCCTTGGGCCCCTGCACCTGCATGGGAGACCTGGAGGAAGCTCCTGGCTCCTGGCTCCTGGCTTCAGATCAGCTCAGCTCTAGCTGTTGCAGTCATTTGGGGAGTGAACAAGTAGATAGAAAACTCTCTTTCTCTCTCTCTGTAACTCTTTCTAATAAATAAAATAAATCTTTAAAAAAAAAAAAAGGGTAAGATTCTCTAAATAGAATGAGATCATGGCGGAAAAATATGAGAGCCACAGGAAATGAATTCTCTCCTGATAGTTTCCAGAGGATAACTGATAAAGATTTCTATTTACCCTACAGTTTAGTGCCGTCCATTCCTGCTCCCAATTCAGATTCTTCACCGCAGCCTAGATCCATACTGACAAGTGAAGAAAACTCTTAACTTTCCCAATCTTAACGCCATACTGGAATGTGTGGCCCACTCATTCCAAATAGTAGCTCTTTCCAAATAGCTCTTTCTTTTTTTAAAGATTTATTTATTTATTTGAAAGTCAGAGATACACAGAGAGAGGAGAGGCAGAGAGAGAGAGAAACAGAGGTCTTCCATCCGAAGGTTTACTCCCAAGATGGATGCAACGGCTGGAGCTGGGCCAATCCGAAGCCAGGAGCCAGGAGCTTCTTCCAGATCTCCCACTGAGTCTCAGTCTACGCAGGGGCCCCAAGGACTTGGGACATCTTCTACTGCTTTCCTAAGCCATTGCAGAGAGCTGGATGGGAAGTGGAGGAGCTGAGTCTCGAACCGACGCCCATATTGGATGCTGGCGTTTCAGGCCAGGGCATTAACCCACTGTGCCACTGCACCGGAACCTCCAAATTGCTTTTTCCACATCAGTTCTTTTTTTTTTGACAGGCAGAGTGGACAGTGAGAGAGACAGAGAGAAAGGTCTTCCTTTTTGCCATTGGTTCACCCTCCAATGGCCGCCGCGGCCGGCGCACCGCGCTGATCCGATGGCAGGAGCCAGGTGCTTCTCCTGGTCTCCCATGGGGTGCAGGGCCCAAGCACTTGGGCCATCCTCCACTGCACTCCCGGGCCATAGCAGAGAGCTGGCCTGGAAGAGGGGCAACTGGGACAGAATCCGGTGCCCCAACCGGGACTAGAACCCGGTATGCCGGCGCCGCAAGGCGGAGGATTAGCCTAGTGAGCCGCGGCGCCGGCCCCACATCAGTTCTTTTGATGTGACAATAGATTGACAAATATATCTCTCTTTAGAAAGAAAGTGTGGTCTGGCACCGTGGTTCACTTGGCTAATCCTCTGCCTACAGTGCTGGCACCCCGGGTTCTAGTCCCGGTCGGGGTGCCGGATTCTGTCCTGGTTGCTCCTCTGCTGTGGCCCGGGAGTGCAGTGGAGGATGGGCCAAGTGCTTGGGCCCCTGCACCCGCATGGGAGACGAGGAGGAAGCACTTGGCTCTTGGCTTCGGATGGGCACCGTGTGCCGGCCTTAGCGGCCATTTTGGGGGTGAACCAATGGAAGGAAGACCTTTCTCTCTGTCTCTCTAACTCTGTCAAAAGAGAGATGAGAGAGGGAGAGAGATAAAGAAGAAAGAAAGAAAGAAAGAAAGAAAGGAAGGAAGGAAGGAAGGAAGGAAGGAAGGAAGGAAGGAAGGAAGGAAGAAAGTTCCTGAGAAGTTCTGATTCAGAATATCATTGGTACAGCTCTATTTCAAATGTGTTAGAAAATCATGCCTTTAGGGGCTGGCGCTGTGGCACAGCAGGTTAAAGCCCTGGCGCCAGCATCCCATAAGGGCAGCGGTTCTAGTCCTAGCTGCTGCACTTCCAGTCCAGCTCTCTGCTGTGGCCTGGGAAAGCAGTGGAAGATGACCCAAGTCCTTGGGCCCCTGCACTCGCAAGGGAGACCCGGTAAAAACTCCTGGCTCCTGGCTTTGGATCAGCGCAGCTCCGGCCGTTGATGCCATTTTGGGAGTGAACCAATGGAAGGAAGACCTCTCTCTCTCTCCCTCTCACAGTCTGTAACTCTACCACTCAAATAAGTAAATAAAATCTTAAAAAAAAAAAAAGAAAGAAAATCATGCCTTTAAAAGCATGCCATCACTTATCTGTTGTGGACATTTAGATTTTTCTAAAAAAGAGAAATGAGGAAGCCTTACCTGTTCATAAATATGGCTGAAAAGACAATTGTGGTCCATTCTTTGGAGAAGAACAAAAGCTACCTGTTTTCTATTCCCTGATTTGTAATAATGCTTCCATCTCAAACTTGAAGTGTCCCAACTCTTCACTGACAAATTTCCGTCGAGGTCACTAATTTCTCCAGTGATGAGTGATGTAATAGAATGGAACTCTGCATCACAAAAAAAGCGGTGAGCCAGGTCTGCAAGGGTGAACAGGGTTAATATGTGGGTTTGCCATGCTGCCTTATGGCTTTCTCAGTCTTTTACCGCCTTAACATACAAGAGTCCTTCAAACAGCTCATGGACAATGGAATTAAATAGCTTATTTTTGTGCAAAAATACTTTTAAATCCACGAATAGTGTTTTTTTTTTCATAATATGTTTTCCATAAACTTTATGAAGCACCTTGTATTTTTCAAGGTGCTAATATCAGAGATTATTGAATAATAATATTCAATTCAATATATTATTGAATAATAATCTCTGATATTAGGCTAACACATTTGTATTTTTAAATATATATATATATTTCTTTATTTTAAAGGCAGAGTTACGGGGGTGGGGGGGAGAGAGAGAGAAGGAGAGAGAGAGAGAGAGCGAGAGAGAGAGAGAGAGAGCGCTTCTACCTACTGTTTCACTCCCCAAATGACTGCAGCTGCCAGGACTGAGCCAGGTGGAAGCCAGATAGTTCATCCAGGTCTCCTATGTAGGAACAGGGGCCCAAGCACTTGGGCCATCTTCTGCTGCTTTTCCACATGCATAACAGGGTCCTGGACTGGAAGTGGAGCAGCCAGGACTTAAACAGGTATCCATATGGGATGTCAGTGTCACAGGCAGTGGCTTAACTTGCTGTGCCACAATGCCAGCCCCGCATCTATATTCTTAATAAGCAATACAGGGAAAATTGTATGATTATTTTAATGCCTGAAAGCTTACTGGCAATCTTTCAGTGCCTCTTGCCTTGCCTCCAAGACACTGTGGAATAATACATAAAATAAACTCAATCTTTGCAATATAAGCAAATAGATTCCTCATCTATGTTTACTGGAGCAAAACAGATAAATGGATTTTGCTCTTCACAGGACTTCCCCACATGGAGTTAATTCACAGCACAGCTCCTGACCTACTTAGTTGGAAAATGTCCTTTGACTCCCATCGTATCGGTCTTTCTGCTCCCAGCTTTGACCCCTGTATGCTTTCCTCAGAGGACCCTGAGAAGAGGGATGAGAAAATTCCTTCCAAAACCGGTATACAATTATTTGCATGCATTCTTATCTTGAATGTTGTTTTTTTCTTCTCAGTCTGTTAGGAACTGTTACATAAAGAGGATCTGGTATTTAAATTTCAAAGGGCATCAGGTTTATATCGCCTCCGTGTATCTAGTTTGCATAATCACTGTGTCATGTCATCTTCCAGAGAATATCATTAAAAAGTCTACACCAGTTGATATCCATAGACATGACTACAAACAACCCACATTCCAGAATGTATGCTTGTGGTTTAAGTTCCTCAGATACAACATAAATGTTAAATTCACTCAGTCATGCAGCAAATATCTATGAAATACCGAGACAAAGGCATTCCTAGCAGAGATGTGAATTTCATACCTGTAAGGATACTCAAGTGAGAAAACAGACATCTGGTGATTAATTAATTGCAACTTTGGCCATAGGAGAGTCCACTAGAAGGCTCAGGGTATCTGATGTGGGAGGGTTCAGCAATGTTTCCTTGAAGAATGATCCTTAAGTTGTGACCTCAGTTAGGGTTTAGTTAGGTCAAGAGAGGTGGGAAATGATGAGCTAGGTGGGGAGTGCAGGAGTGAAAATGATATGGGGCCTAATGTAGTTCACCAAAATAGAGAATGAGAAGAGTGCCGAAGATAGGGTGGTAAGAAACACGCAGACCAATCAAGAGAAGTGAGAAATCATAGACGTGGAGGGATGATGAGATGCACAGTCTGGGAAATTATTTGGGGGCTAGTGTTGTTGTGCAGCGGGTTACGTCCCATCACATATCAGAGTGCCAGTTTGAGTCCTGGCTGCTCTGCTTCCAATTCAGCTGCCTACTAATGCACCTGGGAAGGCGGCAGATGATGTCCCAAGTATCTGAGTCCCTGCCACTCATGCGGGAGACCAGGATTGAGTTCCTGGATCCTGGCTTTGAACTGGCCCAACTTTGGCCAGTAGGTGGAAGCTCACTCGTTCTCTCTCTCTCTCTCTCTCTCTCACTGTCACTCTGCATTTCAAACAACTCCTTAAAAATTGTTTAATCAATGTGGAAAATGGGTTTAGAGAGCAAGGAAAAATAAATGATGATGAATTAGCAGTATGCAGATAAGAAGAGACATAAATACTGTTTCTGATATATCACTAGGCTAATCCTCCGAGGCCTGCGGCGCCGGCACACCGGGTTCTAGTCCCGGTTGGGGCGCCGGATTCTGTCCCGGTTGCCCCTCTTCCAGGCCAGCTCTCTGCTGTGGCCAGGGAGTGCAGTGGAGGATGGCCCAAGTGCTTGGGTCCTGCACCCCATGGGAGACCAGGATAAGTACCTGGCTCCTGCCATCGGATCAGCGCGGTGCGCTGGCCGTAGCAGCCATTGGAGGGTGAACCAACGGCAAAAAGGAAGACCTTTCTCTCTGTCTCTCTCTCTCACTGTCCACTCTGCCTGTCCAAAAAAAAAAAAGTGACATATAGGTGCTGGAGTTGTGGCATTGCAGGTAAAGCTGCCACTTACAATGTCGGCAATCTCTATGGGTACCAGTTCATGTCTCAGCTGCTCCACTTCTGATCCAGCTCCCTGTTAATGGCCTGGGAAAGTCAATGAAAAATGGCCCACGTGTTTGGGTCCCTTCCCTCACTGTGGGAAGAAGCTCTCGGTTCCTGGCTTGGGCCTGGCCCAGTCCTACCCATTGCAACCATCAAGGAAGTAAACCATTGGAAGGAAGATCTCTTGCTCTCTCTGTGTCTCTCCCTCTCTCTCTGTAACCCGCACTTAATAAATAAAACCTATCTTAAAAAATATAAAATAGACATGTGCGCATATAAAAGATCTTCAAAAAATTCATGGCAATACATACAATGAGAAAATCATGCATGGGTTTTAAACATTTTCCCCCAAGTACATTTATCTTTGAACTCATTTTTTTCCTATAAACTTTTAAAGTACACTGGTATTATCTGGGGTGTGTATATTATATAATACATTGTGTATATAATTATTTGTGATATTATATGTGTATCTATATATATGTGTATCTATATATGTGTGTATTATATGCGTATCTATATATAAATATATAAAGATTCTTGTTCAATTTCTACCCTATAGGTTGTTACCTAATATTTGATACACCTCATCAGACAAAGCAGCTCCAATAAATTACTTCAAATATCCCCAGTTCACCAGGGAGTTTGCTAATTGGCATAAGCAATACTAGATAGAATATTTCATTAGTGAAATGAGTAGCATCCAAAATTAATGAAGTGACTCTGGTCAATTACACAACTACTTCTAACTTCGCATGAACAGCACTCTGAAAACCTGGCCAGCACACAGCCTCTCCTTTTGGGGTGCTCCCCTGAGACAGGACCACTGGGTTCTGTGTTCCATTACTTCATAGAGGAGTCAGATCCAAAAAGGGGGGGCATTGAGTCTTGCTGCTAAACCTCCTCACTTCTGTTCAAGTGAACCTTTCTTGCTGGGTCCCTTCCTAAGTGCCTAAAGTACAATTAAGTGGAACAGATTGTGTGGCAGTTTTTGTGCTTACTTACAAACAAACGTTTGTGTATGTGGCAGAATCTAATCAGAGCCATGCTTTAATTGTATCATCCCATCTGGTGGCAAACTCATGGAGGAAGAAACTTACAGCTCCAACCAGTTTCCAAATGTCCTAACCCAGCAATTTTTCCAACAGAAACTTAAAGTGGGATTGCCAAATTGGCTCAGGTCAGTTAACAACTGGGTGAAGACAGTATGGTTGGACATGGAAAAAAATGGGTCAGGGAGAGGCAGTATCAAGCATGGCTGTTTTCTGTCATGAGAAACTTGATTCCTGGTAGTACAATAAGTATGCAGAGACAAGGAACATGGGAGATAGAGCTGGTTTAGGAAGGAAATTAGAAATTCAGTTTGGGACAGATTGGGCTCAATGTATTTGTGAGCTTGGTACATTTCAGAAATGCTGCATACATATTTGGATGAAAGAAGTCTGAGGCTGAGGATACACTGCTGGGGGTTAAGGAGATGGATGGAACTGAAGCCACAGGAGTTTATAAGATTGCCTAAGAAGATAAATAAATAGAAAGGAAAAGTGCCCTTCAACATTTGAAGGCTGAGACTTGGAGTATATAAATCAATCATGACTTATGTGTTGTTACTCTAACAAATATGTGGCATTTCACATAATTCAAAGACATGATAGCAAAATTCATTTCAGGTAACCAGGCTTTATAGTAAAGAAAAAAAAAAAAACGACAGATCCAACTGAGGTAGCACGAAGAGTGCTTCTGTAGCATACTTACGCAATGAACAAAGGAGCATAGAACTGCTTTGCAGGGAATTAAAATAATTTATTCTGTACTTAAGAAAAAGAGGCAGCCCATTGGACAGACACCAGTCTGGTGGGGTTATTGGCGCTTCCCAGTGGAAGGGCAGCTAAAGGATGGTTGTCCATGGCCCATTTATGACTGTTTATGACATATTGTAACTGAGAGTTTTCATTTATTTGTTTTCTTCTGTTTTAAACTGAAGAAGCTGAATTCCAAGTCAGGGTGAGAGATAAGAAACAAGGGCAAGATGTAGGTCCCCGAGAACTAAGGCTGAGGCAGTCTCCAAAAACACTCCTCCCCCATGAACTTGCAAAATCTTGGGAGCTGGCTTTGAACTTGAAAAGGATATGAAATGAAATAGTTTATTTTTAAAAATTTTGAGGGATAGGCATATCTATCAATCTCATGTATGGGCATTTCCTTGTACTGTTTAAAAATATCTTGAGGAGATAATAAAAATCACAAGCTAAGCAATGCACAGGACACTGAAAATATTCCCTTATCATCCTATCTCTTATCCAAAACAAACACCATCATCTGTTTCCTATTCATATTTCCAGAAATATCTTATTTGTATAAAGCAAATGCATGAATATTCTCTTAAAATGGTCTCAGAAATACTGGAATACTATATAAACTCTTTTGTATCTTGTTTTTCTCTCCTAGTGGACACAGAACTCTTTGCAAAACAGTACAGAAAAGATGCCTTTTAAATGGCTCTGTAGTTTTCCACATGTAGGTATACCACAATTTTTACTAGGTTATTTGTACTTATTGATGAACAATAATTGT